GTCCTACATTTAACATGTGCAATGACGCAAAACAAATAGTCGGTTGACATTTAAGAAATAACGAATGCATTACACATCTGGCCTTGAAGAATTCTTCCTGAATATATTTTGGTCCAGTGGTATCAGCTGATGTATCATCTGTTTTCTTTGGCTCTCTAGTGATGCTATCAATTGCATCATCATGGAATGCAAACCATATTATTCTTATGAAATTAAATGTCACAGAAGTCAGATGCACTGGCTTGTATTTGATCTACCTACCAATACAGCTACTCTTGGAGGGATGGTTATTAGCCATGACTAAAGTGCTAGCAGTAAATAAATATAATGGTAACTTAAGTAATGCCTTTCTTGATTAAGAATATGGGAAGAGAAAATTCTATGATTAAAATGAGATCTCACTCTTATCTGTATTACAATTATTCTGTTTTGATTGTTAGTTTTCTGTATTTCTCCTGCTTCCACTCTGTGACATTTGTCTGGGATTGCATTTGCATGTGTGAATCAAATAAATTATAGCAGTGCAAAACTTCTATTTCAAATCTGCAAAACTGATACTGTTCTGTAAGTTCTCAACGTACATTTTTATCGCAGCATCAATGAAAATAAAATATTGCATGATTTTGTTAAATTAAAAAAAAAAAAAGCCTAAATGCATAGAAGGCACCTCATCGGGTGCCTCTAATCTATTTGTAGAATATTCATAGGTATTCATGTATCTTTTATTTCCAAGCAAACTGGAATTGTAGGTACATATGAGGCATGCTCGCAGATCATTTACAATTTAAGAAAGGCAAAGTTATTTCTAATACTGAAATGTGAGATTATATGTGAACAAAGTACTTTGAGTCTGATACCACTTTAGAATAAAACCAGTTAAAAAAAGTATCTGTTGTACTGCTTATAAGACTGAGTAATAAACTGGAAAGCTAAGGATAAAAAAGTATAGTTACTTTTAAGTTAACTATGGGTTATACACCTCAGGGTTGGTTTTTGTTTTCTTTTTTTTTCTTGTTTGTTTGTTTTGGTTTATTCTTTTTTTGTTGTTGTTTTGGGTTTTTTTGTTTTTTTGTTTGTTTGTTTGTTTGTTTTAGTATAGATATATCTATAAAAAGCTAAAATGAGTTCATATTTTGAATAAGCCAATAGATACTTAACTCAAAAATTAACAAATATTTCAGTCCTGGTGCCAGTCATTATAAAAATGCCATTTTGCTCAGAAGGGTTAAAGATTTAGGACTCTATACATTTGGTCTAAAATTATAAATGAATAACAGCCTTGATCCAAACTAAGGGTAGCTGAGCCTAAAATCCTGCTGCAACAGTGGCCATCAGCAAGCAAACAAGAGTAAAAGCAAGGTAAACATACATGACAGTTTCCCTGCTCCAATACTATGTAGATTTCCATCAAGGGTCTGATTACAGACTTCTTCAGACAACCGTTATTATGCAAGTTTAGTAATTCTCAGTGGATATATCTTTCAAATATGTGTCTTATTTCTGTTCCACAGGTCTGTTAATCATTTCACAAGGAAATGTCTCTACTTGCTCAAATTCAAGCAGCTCCTACAAACTTCATTTGATATCCCTCCTTACTATAGTGGAAAAGACAGTGAAACAGCTGTTCTTCCATCTGTCTTATGTGAACTGCTCATTATTTTTAGATCTTTGAAACATCTCCCCAAAACTAAAGTGACTATATTAGCTTTGTTAGTCCTACCTTTCATCTTAGAATATTTTAGGTTGTAAGGGACATTTAGAATTCATGAAGTCTGACCTCCTGCTCGAAGCAACGCCACCTTCAAGTTTAAATTTAGTGAGATTCACTTAAGTTCTCCAATAGAGAAGTTTTTACAGCTTTCCATCTGATTTCTGAGAAGGAGATCCAAGTCTGTCACGGCCCACCTATCTTCCCTGATCCAAGCTGCAGGTTCTGACCTGATACCTAACAGGTGGGATTGGTCTAAACAGTAGTGTCTATCCAAAAAATGTAGTGGATTATGAAAAGTAGTTCTCAAGCATACCCTGTATTCAAGAATGAGAAGAGCACCTCAGGGTGTGATTTATCCCATGTAGTCAAGAGATCTCTTGTCATGTGCTGAACTGCACTATTTCCCCACGTTGGTTTCTAGGAGGAGCCTGATCTCATAAATTTTCTAAAAGAAAAGAATCAGATGAAAAAAGTTCCAACAAAAGTCCTCAGCTAGGAACAGCTAAAAGACAGTATTACAACCGAAAATTCCACAGCAGACCCTTCTTCAAAAATTTTATTTCTACTGTGCTCAGTGTGAACTCACTGCTGAGAATGTACATGCACTTCAAAAGGATGCTGTAAAAAAAAAAATAATACAATTATGTGATATATCTAGTATAAGGGAAGGAAAATTATGACACAGCAAAATTATAGAAGCCAGGATCTATCTGTATCTGGCTGATTTGCTATTCTGTGTTCTCTGAGAATGAGCTGAGTATTTTCTGTTTTTGAAATGTTCAGTCTACAAGTTAATTAAGTAATTTCAACTACTATAAAACAAAGTTAGAAATTCCACCCTCCTGGTCCAAATCCCAGCAGAGATCAGGTTGTTAAGTACCCATGTAACATGAAAGTGTCATTCAACTGCTAAAAGTCTCATCCAGCTTCCACTCACTTCACAAAAATTTATAGTTAAGAATAACAAAATGTTCCAAGATTTATGATGTGACAATTTATCTAGATCTCAGACCAAAAATAATTAGCATATTTTGTAACCAGTGCACAAAGGAAAATTCTAAATTCAAATATTTTTAGTATAATTCTACAGAAAACATTTGATCATGTATTTTACAACCACAGCTCTCTATAGCTACAAAATCTGTTTTGCACTCATCTTTCTTTCATTATTCAATTGATTAAAATGTTGTATAAAAAATCATTTGGAGCCCATTCAGTTTTATACATCTATATATATATCACCCATTGGGTAAATAGTAAGTAGTTTTGAACATGAACTTGGTCTCATTCAGTTTAGATTGTTTCAGGTCTTAATCATGCTCACACCAGCTGAATCTGCCAGGCCATTTTTGGACAAGAGTGTTTTTGTTGTTGTTTTTAATCTGAGATGTCTTTAGAAGCTCTACCAATGAAACACAGAATAACTTGCAACATCCACTTTGGAAGTTAAGAATTCACCCAAATTTACTACTAATTTTCTTCTGTAAAGACAAATGTAAAGTCATTTGCTGCTTGCCACACTGACTGCATCAACAAAATGGTACTTCAGCAGAGGTTGAATTTGAAGGTCTGAGTTTCTGTGTTGTCAGCAGGAAAAATGGAGGAACTGACAAATTTTATTGAAATCATCAACTTGGAGGCTCTGGGATGGAATGCTGGAATTATATTTATTGTGCAGCCTTAATTACTGACTATTCCTTATACAACATTGCAAACCTTCCTTAGATATTGATTATTTAGTTTTGGTCTTTGTAAAGCCTTGGGGATAATAATTTTCAGCTGGTGCTTTCACTACATCCTATATACCTAGTGATACTTTTTTTCTTTTATATTTTGTTTTGGAGATTTTTTTAGTCACTTAACTACTTGTGTGTTGTGTCTCAACCCCAATAGACAGCTAAGCACCAAACTCACCCTCCCTAAACTGGGATAGAGTTAGAGAATTAGTAGAGTGAAAACAAGAAAAATTGTGGGTCCAGATAAATACGACTTAATAAATAAAGCTTAAGCTGTATATGCAAGCAAAGCAAAATAAGCAATTCATTCTCTAATTCCCATCAGCAAACAGGTGTTCAATTCACCCATTTCCCATTTCTGTGTGTGAGTTGTGGCATAAAACATTTGGACATTTTGACTCAGGTGGCCTGGCTGTGTCCCCTCTCAGTTCCTTGCGCGTCCTCATTCTCCCTGCTGGCTGGGAAGATTGGGAAACAGATGAAGACCTTGGCAGTATGTAAGCAGAGTTCAGCAATATGTTAAATATCATTGTGTTATCAACACTGCCTTCACCACATGCAATATATAGCATCAAATGAGCTACTATGAAGTAAATTGACTCTTTTCCTGCCTGGTTAGTTGTAGTAATGTGATTAGCAGAAAATTAGAAGTGTTAGAAGAATGATATAGTGACTAGCCTAAAGTATATTCATTCAAGACAATGGTAGCTCTCCTAAGGAAGCAGTCTTAGATTTGTACAGTATGAAAGAAAGTAAAGATCTACTTTATTCTAGGAAACAAAATGGAAGATGCAAAAAAGCGAGCTGCAGGGCAAGAAATAATAATACACATTAGCAGTCAAGACAAAGAGTGAAGTAAACTAAAAACAGCAGCTTGTACCATGTCCTGGCTATGTTTTTGAGAATGATTCCCAGATCTTTTCTCTGAGCCTTAAGTGGCAAGATTGGATGGATCTGGGCATATCAGCCAGTGACTTGTGAATCCTATGCAAGTTTCCTGTATCACCCCAAAGAAAAACAATTTTCTCTAGAATTATTTTTATTCTGAGCTATTTTTCAATGAATTACTGAACCTATGCAATATGAAAGCCATTGCTTCAACAGTCTAACAAAATGAATGCCCTCCACATGAATGGTTTCAAGTTATATGCACAGGAGGCCTATAGGAAATCAAATATGTAGAAATGTACATAAGCTCTCATGATGTTAAGATCTGGCAGGCACCGTGTGCTTTCATTTAAAAAATAAAATAAAATAAAATAAAATAAAAAAGACCAAGTAATGAATGACAAGGGGAGGTTGTTTCCTTTACAGCCACTTTCTATATATGGTGACTGAGTTTCATCTTAAAGAAAAGGAAGTGTTCATTTGAACAAATAAGAAGGAACACCTAATCCTTAGTGGTCTAGACAATGGTATCTTTAAACATATACTGTGTTTTATTTGCAGCATTCCTTGGTATTCTTCCAAGAAATGTAATTTCATGAAGATTCATCTCAGAAGACTGGCTATTCCCTCCCACCCATACATTCTGTATGCTGTTTTTTTGGGGTTTTTTTTTTTTTTTTTGGTTTTTTTTTTTTTTTTTGGGGGGGGGGGGGGGGGGGGGGCTGGGATTTCTGGTGTTTTTTTCTAGTGTTACCAGAACAAAACACAAATACAAGCTTCTATGTGTCCTCCACTAGCATTATTCTGAATGCTAGCAGGGTGAAACTGTTAACAATTAGAGTTCGTTGACCTAATGGCCTATCAGGATGTGCTTTCATTCTGGTGGGATAACAGAGAAAGTGTTGCAGAGGTTCAGAAACATAGTTCTCAATTCGGAAACTTTTTTTCCCACACAATCACAAAAAGAAAACAAAGTTTAAGTTCAAGGAACAGAGGTTCTTTTGCATTGAAGGGTCATTTTGAAATGTTGACATGTCTTTTCAGATTCGCAGAGGTGTTTTTTATATATTGTAGTGCTCTGCAAAGGAAAGTAGATGAACAGATGATCTTGTGACTTTACTATGAAATTCCCATGCCTCTTCCCTTTGCTTAATTTGTCTTCGTGAAACAGATTCCACAGAAGAAAGGATTCTCCTTCTTCTCCCTCTTCTTCTCTCTCTCCTCTTTCCCCTTCTTCTTCTTCTTCTCCTTCTCCTTCTCTTTCTCTTTTTCCTTCTCCTTCTTCTCCTTCTCCTGTTTCTTCTCCTTGTTGGTTATTTAAAAGGAGATCTGAAATTAAATTTAGATAAATCTTATGTGAGAAAAAAATATAAGAAGAAAATGTTGCTCCACAAGACTAAATTTAAAAGTACTTCTGAGTGTACAACAGAACTATGCTCAATAAATGTCACCAGTTAAATCTATCTTCTGTGTCCTGGGCATGTGTTACCTCTGAAAGGGAAATAAACCATTTTTCCTGTAGAGCATTGCTACTCTGAAGTAGGATCTGCTGCTTCATTTCCACAAATGGTGAAGAAAACCAAGAAAAAAAGTGATATAAAGTAGTAACAGGGGAGTACTGCCTGGATTCCCTGGTGACATTAACAGTCCTTGTGCTGCATTTTGGATGAGTTTGAGTTTATACGAAATAAACATAAAATGCTAGCATTTTTTTCTAACCTCAATAAATTTATCTCCAAATGGAATGTGAGCTCAGTGGTATTACTGGATGACCTAGAAATAGAGAGTGCTAGAATTGCATGGAAATCAGGGTAGAAAAAAAAGCCATACAGTGTACTATATTCCTTCAAGAAGTATTTTTACTTCAGAAGACATTTCTTTATTATTAAAATGCATTTGCTGTGTGGGCCTTGAACAGATGCATGCTTTTCAAAACTTAATAAATCATTGACTGTGGTTTTCAAAAATGCTGTTCCACCCACTCTCTTGTTCAGAGAAGGCTGCAACAAATGACAGACCTTCTCTTTAAGGTTTTCTGATTCATAGTCTGTCAAAACAGTGGGTAAAGAAATTCCACAAACTGAGGATCTTTCTTAGATCCTTCTGATTTTATTGCTAAGTCTCAGATGCAGTAATGCAGTAAGAAAGTGTTGTACTTTCAGCAAGGAGTAGGCTTTATCAGCCAACATCTGTTACTTGAATTGGACACAGAAATGAATGAATGGCTAGAGAGCCAATTGACTAAAAAATATGTATATATATAAGCGTTTTGGAAGCTATTTTCCATTAAGGAAGCTGAATGCTGATGCATCAGATGAAAAGATGGTCCCTTTGCTCCCATGACTGTGTTATTTGTACACATGAAACAGCAAGTGTTTATAGGAACTACGGCAGAGGCATGTGATATAAAAGATCCTCTAGAAGTATTCATACATTTAACCATGACAAATCAATTTTAGCATAATTAATCTTAACAGAGTGTAAATAAAAAGCTTGTTGACTACATAATACTACATAATACTACAAAATACATACTACAATAAAAAGCTTGTATGACTACAATGCAGTATAGTACATAAGAAACAAATGTTTCACCACAGCTTTGAGCAACCTAGAGATGAAGCCAAGGACTGCAAGAATGGAACAACTGGAGAAGGATTTACCTGAGGGCCAAAGAGGGTTGTCCAATAATACTTCAAATCCAATGGCTTAAGTTTATGCATATGTCTATATTACTTGATGGAGAAGATGCTGCTGCTGTTTGTCCTGAAAATCACTCCAAGTACATCCTGCCATGACTACTTTTGGGGTCTTTGTTCCAGCCTTTCTGGATGCATTAGCAGAAAACATTGTTATTGTTAAGAATGAATCCAGCATTATACGGGATCTCTGACTGGCAGTCATTCATGAATCTTAACTGGCAAATAAGGCAAAAAAAAAAAACAACAAAAAAACCAACAACAACAACAAAAAAAAACTCACAATGCTAAAACTGAAAAAAGGCACTGGGGAAACCAAACAAACAAACAAACAAAAAAAACAACGCAACTATATTATGTACTAAATTACTTGTATTAGATTTCTTATTTTGCCACAAAGTGTTTTTACGCATACTGCTGCTAAAAAGCAACAGCTACAAAGCCTTTGCCATTTAAGCAACTCTTCCCCGATCATCCATTTCTTCTTAGTTTTACATTGCAGAGCAGTGATGTCATTTTGGGTTGATATCACTTTAACTTACAACAAAACGTGGCACTCAACATAAAGAATGTAGCCCATCCCAAACAGACACCTATAAACAGTCCTGCAGGGCTTGCATATAGCTACTAAAAAATCCACTAAGACTTCAGAGCAAAATTCAGTTGAAAACTCAGTCCAAGTTTCACCCTTTGCAGAAGTATGATTGTAAGAGTGCAAGGCCAGAAGATCTGTGCAGAGCACATGGTTCTGAGCTGTCCAGATGTGCGAAAGCACACGGGGTCACTGTTCCTGCAGTAACCCCAGAAGCAAGTGTCCTTTGAACAGTCACCTGCTCAGTTCTGTTGAAAAAGGTGAGCATTCCTAGGTCCTGCTACCTAAACTCATTTAAAACAAGAGGCCAGTGAAGCAGACAAGGAAAGAGAGACCTGTACAGGAGCAGATAAGAGCTGGCATCACAAGGAAGTAGAATCCCTTGGAAACGATGGAACAGCAGGAATAACAATGCTTGAATCCAAAGTTCGGCAGAGGACCTGGATGAAGTACTGAAAGTTCTCAGTAAGCAGGAGTAGGATCAAGGTCCCTCTGCTATTCCAGTTGGCTGGCTCCACACAGCCTTTAACTTCTTCTCAGGAAGGCAGTTTCCCTCCAAACATTTTTCTCTCCAGCTGTAAGTTAGGCTGATGATTTATTTTTTCCAGAGGTGGTGTATCTTCTTAGTCACTCACATGAAATTATATTTCAACAGATATTTTTGGTGACAAAGTGCACTCTGTACTGTCTTTCTGCAGGAAAATGTCAAAAAGCATGGAAAAAACTTAAATAAAATCATGCAGCTTATAAAAACACATTCCAAATAGTCAGACTGATGGGTTTGAGGGGGTGAAATTTTGGGTCACCTCAGCTTCAAAAGCAGAAAGCATCAAGAGGATCTTTATCATGCTCCACAAAATGGATAATTCTTGAAGCAGGGTAAGAGGAAAACTAATGTGGCTGTGGCCTTATAGCCCAACACTATAGGCAGAAATGCAAAGAAGTCTGGCAGGAAACTGTCTCTTTCTTTTTCATGACTAAGAGAAGGAAGCATAGATACTTCCAGAAAGCCTTCAGCTTCCAAGGACCTCTTCTTTTCATATCTCCATTAAATGCTTCAACAGCTTTGAATGCTGGACTATATTGTAAGTGCAATGTATTTTTAGCTAGCATTTGTTTTCCTTTCCTTGCATTCCTTTTATAAAGAAAACTGAATGTCATTACAGTCACTGGCACCCTTTAAAGTGTTAAAACTGCTAAGTTGTATATTTTGAAACTGCTTTACATTACAAGGAGGTATATATACCTGGTATTTCTAAGCTTTCACAGCATCTAAAAGAAGTTCATTTTACTGTAACTAACAAAATAAGAAACCACGATGCAAATCTTCCTGGATTTCTTTTTGTTAGTTTGTTTTAAGAATGAATCTTAAAGAAATCTCAGCTATATCTCAATATGTCTGCAAGCAAAAAATAATTATGCTCACCTGACCTAGACGTATTAATGGACAGACGGAATTGTGCACTTTGATGTTGATGAACATCTGCTTTACAAAAGTGTGCAGCTGCTAATGTGCACATAAACAAGTGCATATTTCAGCATCTAAGTCCCAGTAAAATGATCTTCTGCTATTTGTACATGCTGTGCTAGCCATGCAACCCCTATTCAGCTTTTATTTCACTCACAGAGTACACATAATTATATATTGTCAACACCAGCAGATTTGTCAAGTACATATTGTGCATCCACCTGTAAATTCTCAGAAGAAAAATTTTAATAAAAATGTCCTGTCTCTAAGAGAAAAACAGAAGAAAATTTGGACACACAAAAAATAAAGCATTGCTAGAAAATCAGAAAATTGGATCCAATAGACTATTTAAAAATAAGAACAACTGTGATAGCTAAATGTGCCTAATCTGATGGATGATGATAATACAATACTTCATGTATGGCTACAGACTTTTCTTTCTACTTTTCTGTAGATTATACCATTATGGAGATATTGAATTTTAAAAATATTTGCTGTCATGAGAATATCTCTCTCCCACTGCTTCTTTGGCAAACTAAAAGCAGCAGAAAGAAAATAGCTTGCTGGCAGTATTTGTGCAAGTGTTTATTTTCAGAAGAATAATTTGGAACATTTGTCATGTAAAAGTCAGTAAGAGGCCACACTTGGAGGCAAACTGATGATAAAATGAATTGTGTTCTCAATTGTACTGATGTAAATATGTTGTAATGAAGTTACTCCCTATTTATACTGGTATGGTAGATGGCAGTAGTGGGCATTTAGGTTAAATTTAGGTTAAATTTAGTGTAGGTTGAAAGGCAACCAGCAGACTCTACCAGTCCACCAGTCCATCACCTCTTGGAGTTATGGCACATGCAAAACTGGAAAGTTTCAAATACAAAGTCTCATCCACCTGTCATGGCAAAGTATTACAATTTTCTGTACTTCCTGGCATCAGCAAAAAATAGAAATCAAGCCAAAATGAAGCAGCTGAACTAACTAGTTTTGAGTTTCTAGCGTAAGGCTCTTAGCATCTGCAATTGTCTCATAAGCATCTCTTTGTTTTATCAGAACATCTGAATAAGTAATTGAGAGCAGCAGATTTTATTTATATGTTTTAATTTAAAAAAAAATCTGATTCAAATGCCTTCAATAGAGGCATATATGTAGCCAATATAGCCAGAAGATAGATTGATCCAAGTGCTGAATTTATCTGTTTATAATCAAGAAACCGTTCAGATCTAGATTAATGAAAGGGCAGATATTTCCAGTACACAAACTGCTCTAATTCAGGAAGGATTTTGCTTGTACTATATTTAGCCAGAAAAGTCTCCATTTGCAAATTTATATGCCTCCTTCTCCCTTCCTTTCACCCCAGTTAGTGTTTGTGGCCAATCTTGTACTTCTTGGAAAATTCAGCAAACTGCAGGAGTGCTCACGCTGTGCCAGCATTGGCAGAATGGCAAGAAAAATGATCAGCTTAGATCATTCTTAGGAGAGGAGAGGAGAGGAGAGGAGAGGAGAGGAGAGGAGAGGAGAGGAGAGGAGAGGAGAGGAGAGGAGAGGAGAGGAGAGGAGAGGAGAGGAGAGG